TGAACCTTACTCCTGGTGAACTTTTTTTAAAATTTATTTTATTTATTTAAAAGACAAAGTCACAGAGTCAAAGAGAGAGAAAGTCTCCCATCCACTGGTTCACTCCCAAAATGGCCACAACAGCCAGAGCTGGGCTGATCCAATCGGAAGCCAGAAGCTTCTTCTGGGTCTCCCACATGGATGCAGGGGCCCAAGGACTTGGCCATTTTCTACTGCTTTTGCAGTAGCAGAGAGCTGGATCAGAAGTAAAACAGCCAGGATTCTATCCGATGCCCATACAGGATGCCAGCACTGCAAGCAGTGGCTTCACCCACTACACCACAGCACGCGCCCTGAATTCTAATTGTACTTGCTCATGTTTTGGGATTCAAGTCTGGTGCCATCCTTCCATAGATTTCCCTAGCGTCTCCTTAGCCTTCCAGGTTATAAATTCTTCTCTCAGATCTCTGAACAATCTACAGATCCCAACTAATTCATTATTCCAACACAAAGTAAACAGATTTGTAAAATAGGATTCCAAGTTCTAATTCACTGAGATTGATCACAGACCGGTAAATTCGTTTCAATCAGCTCCTTCTAAGAAGCTCAACAGGAACACAGGGTTGCATGTTAAATGAAGAGGGTGATGGTCTAAGGTCAGGTAGTCACTCTTATGTACAACTGAAGAGCTCACTTCTGCCCTCAAGGATCAACGCTTGCCCTCACTCCTCAGCAGTGAGGAGCACGGACAGAACTGCTACTCTTCAACTCTTGCATTTGTAAAAATTTTAAGAAATACTTATTGAAAGTCAGAGTCACAGAGAGAGGCAGCTAGGGAACGAGATCTTCCATCTGCTGCTTCACCCCCCCGGGTGGCTGGCTGCACCAGCCAGGACTGATCCAGGCCTACTGGGGCCTCCCAGATGCGTGGCAGGGGCCCAAAGACTTGGGTCATCTTCTGCAGCTTTTCCGAGGCCACTAGCGGGGAGCTGCATCAGAAGTGGAGCAGCGGGGACCGCAGGCCCAGGTCCCAGCCGCTACTCCACGCCCCCGACCAACTCCCCTTTTCTCGAACCCCAGGCTGGGGGTAGGGAGTGGCAGCAGTGCTAATTTAATTCTAACACCTGAAATTACCTCCTGGGCTTGTGCTAATTTTCTCAAAGTCAATTTTGTGGTTGCACCAGGGTAACTTTCATCTTTCACACAGGAAATATACTTTGAGTTTGGATTTTTGCAAATATCCAGCAAGATGAACACGGCACCTTTGCTTATCCCGTGTGAGATTTTCCTTCCTCGGCCCCGGACTGGGGTGGCCCAGAGAACTAAGCCACGAAGGCTCCGCTTCCCACTTTCTCCGAGCCCGCTGTGAAATGCAACTGCGCGGGCCTACGGTGGATTTTGGTCACTAAGATCTTAAAGTCGTGGCGACTAGGCTACAGGATCTCAAATCTAGTCTTGACAAGAGGGAAAAAGTACACATTTCCCCCTCAGAAGAAAGCGAAACAGATTCAGGTCCAGAGACGGGGGAAGGGCGCGGCGTCCGGAGCCCCACCAGCTGCCCGCGAAGCCCCTTGTCCCGCGAACCATTTCCTAAAAGCATCCTTCCAACTTTAAGAATTTTACTGTCAAAAATGCACTCCTAAAAAATCCTCAAGTCCTCAGTTGATGCAAAGGTCTTATACATTGGATTAAAAACAATGAATGGCAAGGGTAGCAATTTACCCATGCCAATAAGCTTTTTCAATAAGTTTTTCAATACTAGCTACAACTTAACGCAGTTAGTGTCTATTCTTTCATTATAAAGTAGGTCAGTTAAGGAAATAACTTAAGGAAATAACAACAAAACATACAAAGTGTTCTGTAAACAGAACTTATTACCTGGTTATAATCTTAACTTTATAACAATTTACCTTACTACCATGTCATTTAAAATAAAATAAAAATAGGGAAGAACACTTTGACATTTATGCTTTGCTCAAAAAAGGGAAGGAGTAAGTATGGTTCACCTTAATCAGTAAATATAGAAATTATCCATTGAAATAAACATTTTAGGAGCTATTCAGCACTAAATTTGGATCATTCAGGTTCACCATTATTTTAAACAGAAACCAGAAAAGGACCAGAGAGGGAGACAGGGTGAGAGAGGAGGAAGAGGGTGAGTGGGAAGAAAGGTCAGAGGGAGGAAGCAAAGGAAGCCAGGAAGGAGTGAAAGAAAGTATCATTTAAAGGAAACCTCTCTCTCAATCTAGGGCAA